GGCAATGGCAGAATTCAGAGCTCACTGCACTGATAATACCTGAACAGCTTTTGTGCCTCCATGTCCTGTACATGACGGATAGAAATCTCTCTCTAATTAAGCAGAAAGTCTAATAACCTAGACTTGATGATTTTTATAATTGAAGCAAATGTTCAGTCAATTATCTATCGGAGAGCTTAATATTAGGTAATATTATTCGACAGTCCAGGAACAGCATGAATGTTTCCATGCCTATAAAAAGAAAGACACATTGAAAGGGAAATGCTAGTTCCCTTTTATTTTGAACAGGTACACTTCTGTCCTTTAAATAGAAAAGGGTTTTTATGGATTTCTTTGTGACTAGCAAACTAAATAGCTCTATTCTTATAAGCATCACAGTCCTTAGTGTCACTCAGCTTTGCCCAGCTTAATGACTTGATAGAAATGAAAAACAGTTACATCCCAGTACCTTTAATACATAGATTCCTGCCAAATACCTCTTGCCTTCATCTTTTCCAGATTACTCATTTTATCCTAATGACATTTTGTCTGTACTTCCCTCGTCTGGGAGCAGGCTGGGTTACTAGAGCCGATAATGGGTAATGGGTTGTTTCATCATAAGAAGTACCTGAAAGTCCTAGCCTCATAAAGACCTCCCATTACATAGAAGCATTTATGAAAATATATGAGAGGACAGAACTGCCACATCTCAAGGGAATTCCAGCGTGAAATCTAGCAGTTGGGAAGAGCTTGTGGGCTTCTGGCTATGACTTCTGTGTAGAAAAAGAAAAAAAAATCTGTGTACACAGCTCAGTGAGTTGTCAATGGCCAACGGCCATGTTGGGAATTGCAGTGGAGCTCAGCAGGATTACTAAAATTAGTAACCACTTCTGTCCATTCCTCACCAGACCTGTAGCTTTTTTTTTAACTGACCTTTTAAAATCCTATATCATCAGACCGAATACAGAACTGATAACTTAGAAAAAATATTCCCCTTTCATAGTCTTTTCAAGAGCTGTCAAATGATTTGTCCAAGTTGACAGAAATATCTTTTTCCTATCTTGTTATGTGCTAACAAGGAGATAGTAAATTAGAATTAAGCACCGAGGGTGTATGGAGAACTATGCTAGGTACTAAAAATAATATAAAGCTGCTTTCTTTTTCTTTTTAGGGAAAATTATATTCTGAACCTAATAAACACTGAATGAAATGGCATATATATGTGTGTGTTTATATGTACATATATATACATATACACATATATATATATATATATATATATATATATAAAGAAAAAGGGGATTGTAAATGAATCTATAGGTCTCTGTTGATGCAAGTTGATTTTCTTTGTTTTACGTATATGTATATATAAATATATGTATACGTATAAATTGTGTGTGTATATGTATGTGCGCGCACACACACACACACACACACACACACTCACACAAGCTGTCCTGGTTGTGCTTCTTTCTGGTTTTCCTACTGTTTGCACCTTCCAGAGTTTAGTGTGGTATCTTATATATTTTGTTCTTGTTCTTAAGTCATCTCACTTATGTCCCACTCTTTGTGACCCCATTTGAGGTTTTCTTGGCAAAGATACTAGAGAGGTTTGCCATTTCCTTCTCCAGATGAGGAACTGAGGCAAACAGGGTTAAGTGACTTGCCCAGGGTCACACACATAGTAAGTGTCTGAGACCAGATTTGAACTCATGAAGATTCGTCTTCCTGACTCCAGGCCCAGAACTTATCCACTGTGAATGCTTATTGACTTGACTTTATTTGAATCTTCCCTATAATAGTAATTTATAAAAAGATGCCTCAACAACCCTCTATTGTTTCTTTTCTTTTTGCTATACTATCCTTTCTTATTTTTCTATTCTCTTCCACTGAGAGAAAGAAAGGGAGAGAGGGATGGAAGTAGGGCAGGAGAAAGAAAGAAAGGAAAGAAGGAAGGATGGAGGGAGGAGGGGAGAAGGGGAGGAGAGGAAGAAGGAAGAAAGGAAGAAAGAAGAAGGAAGAAAGAAAAAGAGAAAGAAAGAAGAGAAGAAAGAGAAAGAAAGAAAGAAAGAAAGAAGAAGAAAGAAAGAAGAAGAAAGAAAGAAAGAAAGAAAGAAAGAAAGAAGAAAGAAAGAAAGAGGAAGAAAGAAAGAAAGGAGAAAGAAAGAAAGAAAGAAAGAAAGAAAGAAAGAAAGAAAGAAAGAAAGAAAGAAAAATAAAAGAAATGAAAGACAGGAGGGAGGAAAGAAGGAAAACAAAGACTTTGTCACAAAAATACAGTGTAGCAAAAATAATTCCCACATTTATTGTGTCCAAAATTATATGTCATTTTGCTTATTGAATCCACTACCTTTTTGTCAAGAGGTGAGTAACATGCTTCAAAGGGTATTAAATTTTAATAAACAGAATTCCCACCTACATGAAGTTTACAGTTCAGTAGAGGGAAAAGACACTAGCAGAAGTAATTGTAAAATAAAATATCACATGATAAGTGCAGTAGCAAGATAAAGACAAAAAGTCAATGAGTCCGGAAGGAGAAGGTAGAGTAGAATGCAAGCACCTTGAAGGGAAGACCATTCACTTTGGTCTCTGTATTCCTAGCACCTAACACAGCACCTGTCACATAATTCCTTAATTGATGTGGTATACTTTTTCTAACTAAACTGAGAAAGCAGCATAGTAGATAGGGTTCTGGACTTGGAATCTGGAAAACCTGAGTGTGAATCCTGCTTCACCTATGTGACCCTGACCAAGCCTTAGTTTCTTCACCTGTAAAATGAGGGATTTGGATTGAGTGACCTCTAAGGTCCCTTCTGTCTCTAATTCTATGATCTTAACATTATTTTCAACAAGATTGTGGAGGTTTGAGAAAAAAACAAAAACACAGTATGTGGAGGAGGATAAAAGGAAATAAAAGTTAAAAAGGTATGATGGTGCCAGATTCTAAAGGCCTTGAATGTCAGGTGGATGTTCTTTAATTGTTTAGAAATAGATAACTATTGAAGATTTTTTAGACAACCAGATTTAGATGTAAAAAATATTTTTGTAAACAGCAGGAAAAATGGCTTTGTGCTCATTTTCCTTTTATTATTTACTTCATATGTGTATGTCTGTTCAATTGGAGGCCACATGGGCATGGTGGATAGAATGGTGGGCTTGCAGTTAGATCATCTGGGATTGAATTCCACCTAAGAAGACATTGAGAACTATGTGATCGTGGGTAAGTCTCCACAGCTTCACAAAGTCCAGGTTTTCTCACTTCTAAAAGGGGACACATAAACTATCTATTTTCTTATGAGGACAGTGCTTTACTAAATTTAAAGCATTATATGGAGGTATAAGGGACAATGATGTAGAAGGGGTTGGGAAGCTGACTTCTGGAAAGGCATGATAATGTGTAATTTAAGTTTCTGCTCCCTGATTTGGGGCAGATGTCGGTTTTCTAGAGCTGGTTCCAGTCTGCTAGCCACCTTTTGAGGAGACAGACTGTGGATTGGCTGGGTGGTCACCACCAGGGTATATTCAAAAGGTGTTAGTCAGACAGGGGCAACTCTGTGGGCTCTGGCTCTTACCTTAATAGAGAGATAGAGCATCCATGAAGAAGGTGATTTCAATCAATCAGTCCACAAGCATTTACTGAGTACTTTGTATGTGCTACATACTGCACTGAAGCCAAAGATACAAAGAAGAGCAAAAACAATCCCTGCCCTCAAGGAACTTCCATTCTAATAATGAAGATAACATGTAAATAAATAGATGTGTATAAGATATTTACAAAATGGATGGTAATCTGAGAGAGGAAGGCACTAGAAGCTGAGCAGACCAGGAAATGCCTCCTATAGAAGGGACCAGGACATGAGGTTATTCCCCAAGTAAACCAGGGACTCTAAAAGGCAGAATTGAGGAGGGAAGGTATTCCAGGCATGAAGGAGAGAGTGTGTGAGGAACAGTAAGCAACCCAGAATAGCTGGATTGTGGAGTGCATAGAGGGGAGTAAAGGGTGAGAAGAGTGGGGTGGGACAGTGATACCCTTGTCACCTCTGTGATTCTATGAACAAGAGATTTAGCCTGGAAAAGAGCAGACTTGGAAGCTACATGAAAGTGACTTTCCAGTGTTTAAAGTGCTCTCATGTGGAGGAGGGATTAGCTTGTCGTTTGGTCGCAGAAGGTCGGCACTTGTTGTAAAGACACAAATTTAGGTTTTGTGAAAAGAAAGATTTCCTAAAAATTATCCAAAATTGGAATGGACTCCCTTGGGTGGTGATGCGTTCCCTTTCATTGGAAGTCTTTGAGCAGAGACTAGATGATGATTTTCCTGGTATACAACAGAAAAGATTCTTTTTCAGATGTGGGTTAAAATAAATGACCTTGGAGTTCCCCTCCCATTCTGTGATCCCATGAGTTATTATCCTCTCTAACTAGATTCTTGAGAAACTGTGCTTTATACTTCTCTTTACCTCCTCCCAACATCTAGCCATGCTGGAAACATAGTGAACAATAATATGTATTTATTGAACAAATGAGTAATTGTAGGATCACTGGCCTACTTGTAGTCTCTCACATGTTACTGGAATGCAATCCTCCTCACCTCCGTCCTGTAGAAATCCTAGCCTTCTTGAAAGCTTAGTTCAGATATCACTTCTTACATGAGTTCTTTCTCTATTCCCCGTGGCCATTAAGACTTTCCTTCTCTGGAATTACCTTACGTTTACCTTTTATAGATAGTAGACAGAGTTGCTGAGCCCAGTGGACTGGGATGATATGCCCTCTTCTTTTCCCCTCTGCTTAGGGGCTCATTTCACCTCTGGACTTACGCATGAAGACTAGATTGACACTTAGGACTGTCTGACCACCTGAAAAGGATCAAGTTCTTTTTCTCACATTCTGTGGCTCTTTCCATCCTAACCCAAGGGCCTTGGGTAAATTTACTTAAAGTTCTGGTTTGGGCTCATTTCTAGTATCTCACCAATGTGGGGAGTAGAAAGGTAGTAATTGTACAATGTAAATTAGGTATAGGGCAGATATTTATTTGCACAAAACAGATGTTCAACATGCACAAAACTCAGAAATATGCACTGATAGAAAAACACGAACAGCAGTAACTTAAAACTGTTATTATGTATAACTCTTATTACATATAAGTACTCTCCTGGGAGGTCAAGACTCAAGAAATAGGACATGAAGCAGCTTGAAAGACTGCTGCTGAATTGTGATTTCACATTTCACCTTTACTCTGCAGTATCCAAATATATCCCTCCAGGTCAACGTCTTCTGTTGAGGTAGGCCAGTGATAGGGCTCATTCTTTTACTGGTCATCGTGTCTGATGTGTAAGCTCCTGCTTCCACTCAGTCTCACTGGGATGTTCTCAAACTCATGAGATTGCATCCGAGGATGCAATGTGTCCATCTCAAGACTGCTGTTTGGTCACCTATACTCAGAGAAGGAAATACAACATGGAAAAAGCAACCAGTGACTCAGGCCCAGGCTCAGCTTGCCTAGGCAAGCATTGGCACTAGTTAGCATGTGAAAGCAATTCACTCTTTCTGCCAAAGTGCAGAAGTCCACCTCTCTCCCACCTCTCACTGGAAGCCCCACAATGAAATGAGAAGTCAAAGGAAAAAGGAAGTTAGAAGGTTTGAGGTCCTTTTTAAAATCCAGACTGTATTTCACCCTTTCTGGCTTAATGCCTAGTAGTTTCTCCCCCTCATCACCCGTCCCAGAAGAGTACCAAGAAACCACCCTGGATTTGTGACTAGCCCTTTTAATGGTTCAGTCTCATATTTTCCCAGAAGTTGCCAGGGGATGGAGTCTATACACCATATGGGATAGTTCCTGCAGGTCCACCCTGTCCATGAGATACAGACCTCATTACACACATGTTTTGTATAGACATATGTATACCTATTGTGTTCCCTTTTTTACCCTCTACTGACAAAACGGAAGATCCCCAAGGGTCTTGTATCCTCAGCTCCTAGCAGAGTGCTTAGCAAACAGTAAGTGCCTAATAAATGCTTGTTGACTGATTGTAAGGAACTTACTTTATTAACCATAAAGACCCATAAAATTTGAGTTATTATTGAAAAAATGCTTACTGATTAATTGGGAGCTGGAATGGACCTGTGATCTTTTACTCCAATTATCTCATTTTATAAATAAGGAAACTGAAGCCCAGAAAAATATATGACTTGCCCAGTGTTGCCTAGGTAACAAGAGGCACGGACCAGGACTCAACATCCAGCTCCCCTGACTCTGACACTAGTCCTTCCCCTTGCACTAACCAGAAGGAATGAATAAGCGGTGATTTAGCTTTGGAGACTGAGGTTCCCAGTGGGAACAGACTATTGTCTGTTTGGGTCAGTGCTATAGCAGCTGCTCTTGAGATTATTTCAAGCTCTGTATCCCCTAAACTGGACAAGAATGATTGAGATTCAATTAACCCAATTTCTTTATTTCAAGAATATTCTCATTCTCTGGCCAGAAATTTACTTTCTTCCACTTTTTAATTCAAATAATATAATCTTCTTACACTGAGAACAGACTTTTTTGGCAGGAGAGGGAGACAACAGTTGTCTCTACTTCTCCACTGTCAGACTTTTTTTTTTTTTGCAACATCTGAGATAAACACTTGGTCGGCCATTTTCTTTCTTCTTAGTGCAATTAGAACAGTGACATTCAACTGGCTGGTGCCTTAGAAACTGCCATATCAGGAGCCCTTGCTCTCACCTTGTCACAGAGGTCAGCATGCAAGAGTAGAATAACCAAGGATTAAAAGAAAAAACTTATTTTAAAGTCCACCAAGAAGGTTCGTAGCAGCTGAAGGCCAGCAAGCCAAATGACTTGTCACAGAACAGCTATGCTGTAGCTATATACCTTTTGGATTCTGTATAGTACCTGTGGTTTCCTAGGTAGAGGATACTCTCTCTTACCAACAAGACTGGACACTGCTCTGCAATTTGGAGGCTTGAAAAGCTGCCTAGGGCACTAAGAGATCAAATGACTTACCCAGGTTCATAAAATCAGTATGTTATCAGACACAGGAGATGAATCCAGTCACTTTCTTTACAGTCACTATAGACATTAGTCATGGGTCCATATTGCACCATATCACCTTGACCCCTGACCCATAAATAGTAGATTGTTTGGCTGATGTCTTAAAAGTGTCTTCATTTAACAAAGTTCCTTTGATGGCTTTCGTTCCTTCGCATGGCTAACACTGAAGGATTAATTTTTTAAAGTGTTTTAGTATCCACAGAAGGAAGGGAAGGTGGAAATAACTATTTTGGAAAATTGTCATTTTTTTTGTTTGTTTCGTAGTTGAAGGGGGATGCTACTCAACTCTGGAATTTATTCCTACTCTGTATTTGGTAAGAGGAGTTAAGTAATCATAATGATGCAAATTGTATCTCATGTTCCCCACTCCACCATTTTCCGACCAGGAAGGAAACACAAACTCAATAACATAATACTTATTTGAGATAGCAACAAAGTAATAATTGGGTAACAGAGTTATTTGCACTTCCCTCTAACAGAATCGGGCACAATCTTTACGTGTTCAGAAGGCATCACAACTAATTCCCATTCAATTCCCTAACATATTTGGGGAAGGACGTAGAGATCTCCATGATTCTCATACCCAGTGGTAAAAAAGCGAGGTCTTATTTCCACTAGCCACATGGAAAGAAATCTATGGGAGGGTGGGCATTCTTTCTCTCTGCTTCCTGTAGCCCTCCCTGTTACAGGGTAACTAGATGATGAAATGGATAGAGCTCCAGACTTGGAATTAGGAAGACCTGCTTTCAAATCCTGCTGAGCTGCTTAATAGCAGTGTGACCTCAGACAAGTCATTTAATTTCTCTGTGCTTTAGTTTCCTCTTCTGTAAAATGAGTAGGAGTGGGCTCAAAAGCCTTTAAGGTTTTTTTCCAGGTCTATATCTATGATTACTATAAGATGTGCTAAAGCCTTGGTTCTCGGGTCATCAGGATTCTTCTGGGATTCCTATGTTTGAGGTATGAAGCCTTGACCAAAATGCTCTTCTGTATTCCCACTTTTAAGCTTAAGTTTCTCTTTATATCAACTGAGAAAATCTCTTCCCTCCACCTCGGCCCAGCCTTTCTTTGTTAAGTAGCCTGTCTATTCCCTAGTCTTTCCCTGTCTTTCTGTCTGGGACCTGCTTTCTAACTTCCCCCTTCTCTAAATCCCTACCTTCCTCCCTCTCCATATCAAACCTGACATTCTAGGCTAAAAACTTCCCTGCCTGTGACTTCAGGTGGGTGGGAAACTAATTAGACCTACTAGAATGTGAGCATGTCCTTTCCATAAAACTGTTGAAGCAGCCTTCATACCCACATGGCCATGACCTCCCAGTTGATCCCGACTCCCAAGCTGAGTGAGCCATACTGAAGCACGACCCCAGTAGAATTAGATCATCATGGACTTCTTACTCCTGTGGCCTACAGCTATAGGTAACATCCTTGGTAACATTCCTTGCCAACATCATTGGTTGTATTACTTCTTTCTCCCTTCTCAGTTTCACTATAGACATTAGTCATGGGTCCAGTATGAAAGCATCGAAAGGCTGCCCTAGCTTATAGGTATCAGTCCTGGCTCCATTGTGAAGAGGTCATCAGGTTGCCCTACTAGCTACCTTTGTTATCCCTGCCTTCTTCAGTGAAGGACTTTCAGTTAGTGCCTACCCTTAACCACCCCAAATAAAAGAGCCCATTGCTTTCAGTAATGACTGGATTGAATATTTGGAAGGGTTGACGTGTGGAAGAAGAATTTTAGACCCATTTTGTTGGTCCCCTAAGGGTAGAACCAGAAGCAGTGCGTGGAGGTTGCCAAGAGACAAAATGAAGCTTGCTGTCAGGAAAAAACTTCTCAATAATTATTGCTGTCCCAAAGTGGAATGGATGCCTTAAGAGTTGGTGGGCTCTTCCTCCTTGGAAGTCTTCAAGCAGAGGCCAATAGACACTTGTCGTTCAGGCATATTCCTCTGGTGCATGGGTTGAACCAGATGGCCAGGAAGTGTCCTCCAGCTCACAAAATTATGGACTCTAGGATTCTTTGAATTTCTTTTAGTACAATTTGGAACAAACAATTGAAGGTTACGCCCAACAGGAAAACAATGGCAGTGATACTCTGATAAGATACTCTGATAAAAGGAGAGCACAGTACTATTATGTTATTATTTTTCAGTTCTTTTTAAATAGATTTTGACCTGGGGCAGCTAGGTGGTACAGTGGATAGAGCACTGGCCCCGAAGTCAGGAGGACCTGAGTTCAAATCCAGCCTCAGACCAAACATTTGACACTTACTAGTGTGACCCTGGGCAAGTCACTTAACCCCAATTGCCTAAAAAAACCCAAAATAAATATATTTTGACCAGATACATGAGCTCATGGATTTAAGGACTTCTCAGTCTTTTCCCAGTGTAGAATGTTGAATGAGATAGCATACCCAAAGTACTTTGCAAAACTTAAAGCATTTTATAAATGCTAGCTATTATTGCTGCTGCTGCTTTCTCTGTGATTTAAGGTCTTAAACGGAAGCCTGAGGCACTGAGAAGTTGTGACTTCCCCAGGGTCATACAGCCAATTTGTATCAGAAGCTAAACCTGAACCCAGGTCTTCCTAACTCTGAAGCCATCTTCCTATTCACTATACCATACTTTCTCTTTTTCCTTTTAACAAATAATATGCAAACACACAAAGGACCTATGATTTCTGTCATCATATAAGATAATAACCAATAAGATAATAGTCCTTTCTGATTTAGTAGATAAATATCATGCCTGATAGGAGCAGTTAGGTGGCACAGAGTGCCAGTACTGGAGTCAGGAACATGTGAGTTCAAATCCAGCCTCAGATACTAGCTGTATGATAGCATAGTATAGATAGACTACCAGGCCTAGAGTCAGGAAAACTCATCTTCCTGAGTTCAAAGCCAGCCTCACACACTTACTAGCTGTGTCATGCTGATCAAGTCATTTAAGCCTGTTTGTCTCAGTTTCCTAATCTGTAAAATGAACTGGAGAAGGAAATGCCAAACTACTCCAGTATCTTTGCCAAGAAAACCCCAAATGGGGTCATGAAGAGTCAGATGCGACTGAAAACGACTGAACAACAAAATAAAAGCACCTACCTCCTAAGGATTACCATGAAAATCAAATTGGGTAATAATTATAAAGTGCTTAGCACAACACCTGGCACATAGTAAGTGTTAGTTAATTGTTAGTTGTCATCACCATCATTATTACTACTGAAACGTAGAGATTTTAAGTGACTAGCCCAGGGTTACACAGCTGCAAAGCATCAGAGGCAGGATTTAAGCCTAGGTTTTTCTGACTCCAAGGGCAGCATTTTATCCACTGTGCCAAGATACCTCTATTTTATTTTCTAAATAATAAAAGGGGAGAGCAACTGAGGTAAGCTGTATAGGCCTTGCTTTAGACATGAGAGGGAAAAAATGTTCAAGCCCTTGTTTGCACATTTATTTGGGCCTAATTTTTTTGCTTGTAACTCAAAGAGACCCTTAGGTGATAAATGAATGACTTGGGTCTTTGAAATTCACCAACACCATCATGGGCAAACACTGCCAATTGGGCAAATCTGAACTAGAGTCTGAAATCTGAGCACATTAAGTCTTGGGATGGAAGAGGCAGTAACAGACAGAGCTCTGCATTAGTGATGACAGGAAGTAGGAAATAGATGAACTTATGCATATAGAAAGCCCACTGCCATCATTTTCCTGTTGGATATAACCTTCATCTGTCTGTTCCCAAACTGTACAGGATGAGACAGTTTTTGCAGAAAAAGACCTAGTGATAAGACTCAGATCCAGGCTCCTTTGCGTTTTGTCAATGGCTTGGTTGCCCATTTCTCAGGCAATGACACGTTCCTTGAGAGACTGTTGCTCTTAGAATACCTTCACAATCCTCTGCTTGCAGTTTAACTAGGAAACCTACAATTTCAACTAGCTAATGACTATAGGTTAAGAAACTGGGATCTCTGACTAAATGCCTTAATAAAAGAAAATGGTGCCATCCTAAATATAGGCTTCATTCTTTGTTCTTCTTGTCAAAGAGTTACAATAGCAGGAATAATTTGAATCGCTGCTGTCAAGAAATTTCCTTGCCCTGCTATGTACTTTGTGCAGCTTGTCAGCCCTTTCTAGTGGTGCCACTTTTATCCAGAGAACTTTGCAGCTCTCGTCTTCTTTAAACAAACACAAATTCCGATTTTTCAATGGTTGGTATTTGTGGCCTTGTAATATCTATGATTAAAGACAATTCTATGAGATAAATGAGCACTTCCCCCTATACTACCAACATTTGGGCTTCTTTAAAACTGTAGAATAAAGTGTTAAAATGATGCTGTTTGTTTGATGTTTTTTAAACTCTTGAGTGCTAATTGTCTGATTCCTAATTTCTCACAAGTAGTATTCTCATCTTGTCTCTGATAAACCTCTTGCCTCAGTGGGATTGTTGCTGTTGTTATTTGTCCTTCATTCTTGACGAAGACCATAACATCAGCAAGGTAATGACATGACTTGCAAGTGAATTGAATTTAAGGGAGGAAGGGCTTTACAACCAGCCTCATTTTCTCCTCCAGAGCCATCTGGGTTCAGTGGCAAGATACACATCAGGACAACTGGAGATTCCCACTCCCCCACCCCCCAATAGGAACTGGAATAGGGAATGGCCCTGTGATTTTACTCGTATAGAGAGTTCTGAAACTCCCTCTATCAATGAAGTTTGGCATATTCCTTGAAATATATTTTTAGAGGGATGTCTAAAGCACTGGCAGGTTAAGTAATTTGCTCAGGGTCACACAGCTAGTATGTATCAGAAGTAAGACTTTAATCTATGTCTTCCTGGATCTGAGGCCAGCTTTCCATCCATTTTGCAATTGCCTCTGATACTGAAAATTAGATTTTCTTATTCTTATTAGCCAGACAATATCTGATAGAAGTACAAAGGAAGAAAAAATCCCTACTCACAATGTGATGAAGCCAATGGGTAAAAAAAAAAAAAAGATGGAAGATTAGATAACGAGAAGGAATGATCAGAGAAGAAATGATCCCAGAGAAGGTAGGAGGGGATGTCCCTTAGAGAAAGGCCATCACTTCTGAGTTGGATCAAAGAAAGAGAGAAAAGAGGATATTATGAAGGGGGTTGATGTGCAGAACTGAAAAAAGGAAGAAGCATACAACAGATGACCTTTATTTTCTTGGTCAAGAGTAGGACAAGGTCCTTGACTGAGGGTGAAGGTGAGGAGGGAATGTGGATCCATCATTTTGTATATGAGAAAACACAGGCACAGAGAGGTTGTTATTTGCAAAGGAAGAGGGAAAGGGGAATGATAACTAGTAAGTATCTGAGGTAAGATTTTTTTAAATACAAGTCTTAAAGCCTCCAAGTTAAGCATTCTATCCACTCTGTCATATGTAAAATGGGACTAGTAATAGTTTCACTGCCAGAGCTATAGCATCCTTAAACCTGATGGACCTTTATTTATATCTACCTTCACAACTCCTTATTAGGACATCTCCTCCCTCCCTTTACCTCCAGTAACCTTAGGATATTCCCAAGCCAAATTTCCTTTCCTCAGTTGGAAGCATTTTTCATGGCATGCCATCCAGTTCCAATGCTGCCTTGAGCATTGCTTTTTTCCTTTTTCTCATCCCAAATATTCTTCTGTGACATGCTTCTTTCAATATTTCCCTACAGTATTCCCAGAATCCATTTAGGGCTAAGCAACATTATAAAGCAGATGAAGTCTGTCATCCCTCCTGCCCTAATTTCCTTCCATTTTCAGGCACCTGGCACACCATGAGTTCTCCATTTCCATCTATAAAAAAATCACTTTCAACTATTGGCTGTAAAGAAAAATGCCTATATTAATATTCACACAAAGATATATAAGCCTGCTAAATATGTAATGAGGTCTGTTTGGAGGCTTTAATTTTAACAGAAGTAAATCTCTTGATCCAAAGAAATGAAGCTATAATGGTGGAATTCAATCATAGAAAGGCAGGTGAGAATCTTTTCAAATGGGGTGGGGTGGGGCGATGGGATGATATCCAGACAAATTCCTATTCTTTCTAATGTTCAAGACTAATGCTGTTACCATGATGCTAAACACTTTCTTTCCCTGGGAAACCCATTCATCTCATTCAGAGTAATAGGCAGATTTGCTTCCATTCATAGACCTAGTGGAAAAAGCATTGGACCTTGAATCAAGAGAGATCTGGATTTGAATCCTGCCTCTGGCACTAACCATGTGCCCCTAGCAAATCATGTAACTTCTGTAGATTTCTGCATCTCCAAAATTGGGATAACTCCTCTAATATTTTCCTAACAGAGTCATTGTGAGGGTGAAATGAAGCAATGAGAATAATTTGCCTCGCATGAATGTCAGTTCTCTTTCTTATTTCATTATTATTGCTAGGAAGGTAAAGGACTGATTTGCTGCTGTTTCCCATTTAGCTTTGGGAAGCATGAAAAGCAACATGGCAGAGCAGATAGAGAGCTAGTTTATATAAGAGCAGGAAGATCTGAGCTCTTCTTTCCTCTGTCACATCTTGGCTATGTGATCCTGGACAAGTCAATTAACTTCTCAGTGTTCTAGACATGATAAGTCACAGAGAAGGTGCTGATCTGCATTGGTAGAGGGAGTTTCCTCACCTGGGAGCTCCCTATGTCAATTAAATAACAGATCTAGCTGTTTTTTTTTTTAAAGAATCATAACATGAGCTCAAATTTAACCCAGTGTACTTCTGTATAGGATATGTCAGTAATTACAGGGCACTTTCTCTCTAAATGAGCTTATAATTATGTATAGGAATGTGTCCTTCATTAGCTCAATGCGCTATCTTTTTCCAATCATTTACTTATATTTGTAATGGGCTTAAAAGCAGTATTTCCTCTTCCCTGCCCTCACTTTCCTCATGCATAAATCATATCCTTTGTGTAAGACTTTGCAGCCCACACAATGCTGTCTTGTCTTTGAGTAATTGCATCTGGAAGGTTGCCAGTCATTATCTTCTTAAAATGATGGCAAATTCCTCTCTCCTATTTATGGACAGATGACAATTAAATTGCCATCAGTCTTGACACAGGGAGAATATCCTTTAACAATGAGTCAGCAGCCATTTTTTGTTTACATTTCATATAATTACTTATGAGGGAAATTGTCTTCATAATGACAGATTTAAACAGCAAAAGAGATGTCTGAATTCTTTTTTTCAGAACCAGGGGTGAGACGAGGTGACATTCTATGACAAGTAAATGAAACATCTGTTATAGAGAGTGAGATATCTGTTATAAACGAGTGTTTATATAATTTATTATTGGATTTATTTCAATGTAGTGAGAGCTGGACAATTCTATTCTTGTTTTAAATAAAGAAATAAGAAACCTTCTCATAGCCCTTCTCCCACTATGCTACCAGAAAGCTCGGTAATAATAGTTGGCACCTATATAGAGCTTTAAGGTTTACCAAGAAATTTACATACTTACCTCATTTGAGCATCACAGTCAACAACTCTGTGAGTTATTCACAATTATGTCTGTTTTATAAATGAAGAAACTGAGGCACAGAGAAGCTGAGACTTGGTCCTGTTCACAGCAACAGTAAGAACTGGAGGAAGGATTTGAATCCAAGTGTTTATGACTCTATCTCCTACCCCTCCCTGAGCCCCCCCTGCCCTCCTCCTGCCCAATGCTGCCTCTCCAACTGGGTTTTAATCAGCCAGAGCTTACAACAAGGTATCCTGACACTGACCTAGTCATGGAAGATATCATTTTCCAGAGAAGGATTGTAGCAGGATTGCTTGGCAGCCAGGCTTCGCGTTACCTACCAAAAGGAGCAAAAGGAAGACTGACAGACAAACAGAGAGAGACAGAGATAGAGACAGATACAGAGACAGAACACAATGTATCATTTAGTGGAATGTGATGGGAGAGATCTGAGTTCAAATCCCATTTCTGGCACTTAGTGCTAGCTAGGGCACTAAGCTATGTAACGATGGGCACTGGTACCTGAATCTAACCAAGCCTCAGTTTCCTCATCTGAAAATTGTGTTAAATTATGCCTGTAGTACCACCCTTACAAGATTGTTGTGAAGATCCAGTGATGTTTTTAAAAAGGGCAAATCAGGCATACAAACGGCCTTAAGGTGACTGGCTATTTCAGGAATATCCTGATGTTGTGACCATATGAAAGGACAATGCACAAAAACAAGGAAGAGCCCAGGTTAACACTAAATTGCTTAATGTGGTTTTCGTATGAACTGAGCTAAATGGCCCATTGTGTGTTTAATCACAGAGCGATCAGTCCTTTCCCCAACAGCTAAGCTTGGCTTTATTTTTGTTAACTGACTACATACATTTCTGTGACTAGCCTAAATCCAGCCAATAATGTTGTTTGGTTGTTTCAGTACTATCTGACTCTTCTTGACCTCATTTGGAGTTTTCTTGCCAAAGATACTGGAGTGGTTTGCTATTTCCTTCTCTGGCTCATTTTACAGATGGGGAAACTGAGGCAAACAAGGTGGAGTGACTTCTGGGGATTTTCTTGCCAAAGATACCAGAGTGGTTTGCCATTTCCTTCTCCGGCTCATTTTACAGATAGGAAACTGAGGCAAACAAGTATCAGTGACTTGATCAGGGTCACACAGCTAATAAGTGTCTGAATCTTCCTGACTCCAGGCTAGGTACTCTGTCCACTGTGATACCTAGCTGACCTGGCATAGCCACCTCCAAATAACAATAGCTGGCATTTGTATAGTACTTTAGGTGCATTTTGTATACATCATTTCATTTGAGCCTCATAATAATCCTATGAGGTATTATATGAGATAATAATTCTATATTTATAATACATGTAATAAATACATACATACATACATATATGTACACACACATATGTGTGTACATATATGTATATATATTATATGAGGTAAGGCAAGCAGTATTATTCCCATTTTACAGATTTGGAAATAGAGGCTAACAGCACATATGGTTTATAACAGCTTTATGAGATAAGCAGTATTCGTGTGCCCCTTCACAGATGTGGAAACTGAGACACAGAGCTGACTCAAACTTTCGGTCACCTACCTGATTACAAATACAGAGCTGTTTTCATTACACCACAGCTGCTCCTCCTTTAGCATTTCACATTCATGCAGCATTTCCAGGTTTCAAAGGGAATTCCTTATAATAGGTCTGTGGTGCCTACAGAGCCATAATGAGGAATTTTTGTACCTGAGATGAGCACCAAAAACTATTCTTTTTTTTTTTTAACTTTTTTTGTTTTGTTTTTTATTTTGGAGGCAATGGAGGGGGAGGGGTGCGGTTAAGTGACTTGCCCAGCGTCACACAGCTAGCTAGTAAGTGTCTGAAGCTGGATTTGAAGTCAGGTCCTCCTGACTCCTGGACAGGTGCTCTATCCACTGCGCCACTAAGCTTCCCCCTCCATAGGTTATTCATATGGTGAGTAGTGCAAAGGGTGAGGCTACACTGTTCTATGGCAGGAAGACAAAGATCCTGGGTTATTAGAACAGAGCTGCTTCTGGGGAGGCCACTACATGGGGCATGGGGAGCTGACCGTTTCTTACCTTCTACTAGTACCCCATTTACCTCTAACAGTTTGTCCCATTTAGATTTTGCAAAGCAGAACCCTGAAGGGTCAAAGGTAGACACTGAAATGTAAAGGGGAAAGCCCTTTGAGATGCAGAAGGAGCATCTCCCTCCTATAAAGGGTCTCAAGTTTGACTAGCACAATTCAATATGAGAGGCATCAACAATGAACTTGCATCTGAGGTAAGCTCCATATTCATACCCTCTATTTCCCCTAGCTCTACATGGTCAATGACCCCAACTGGAGTCTGCTAAGTGTAACTTCCTAAATTGTGACTGATCACCGGAAAGAGGGAGGTTCTTACTTAGGAAACTTATTTTGAACCAAGAATGATTATTAAAGAGGAGAGGTAAGACCTTCCCTCCTTCCTGCCTGGACATGACAAATCTCAGAGTCAAAGTTCTAAGGAAGTTAAAACAGAGAGACTTCTGCCAGTCCAGGATAATGGTCCTTGTCTTGCTTGAAAAAGCCCAATAATGCTCCTGATAAAAAGAACACTCTACCAATTCAGCTAAAGATAGCACAGTGCCAACCAGAAAAGCCAGTGACTGAAGTCACTATATGTCAGAAGCAGGGCTTTGAATCCAGATCCTCCTGAATTCTAGGCCAGATCTCTATCCATTACACCACACTGCCTCTCAATGTGCATATGTATATACACATATGCATACACATATGCATACCTATATATAATATGAAAAATCCAAAAAGATCAACCATGGCCACCACATTAATTGGTTAATTAACATAAAAAACTAAACCATTTAATGATATAAACTCTGAAAGAAACCTTCATTGACTCAGATCTTTTTATAGTACTGGTACATTTTCATTTTTCTAAAGAAATCTTTGTCTATTTCTGTATGCACTTCCATGACCTGGCTAAACTGGGAATGTCCCAGATGAAGGCAGATGGCCTTTGTCTTTGGAAAGGATCTCAGTACAAACTTTGGGGCAATTTCCCTACTAAACCAGCTTTTCAGAAAGCTGTCTCCAGCCAAACAATCCATTTAAAGGTCAATGTAAATGCTAACATTATTAAGCAATGGCTGCTTTAAAAAATCCCATCTGTATGTGAACTCCCCCTCTCTCTTCTTCCCAGCAAAGGCTCTGGGCTTTCTCTCATTTTTCAGAATGGGTATTTCTTAACTCACTGCCTCAGCAGTCTTTCATTGTCAGCTTACCCTTGGAATTCGAGTTCTTTTAATTTCTTAATTACTGCTCTGTAGAAATTGAAGGGGAATAGGAGGCTCCTTTAAAATAAATGACAGCCTCTGAAACAAGTTCCTGTCTGTCTGTGCTAATACTACTGACTCCATTCAGGGAATTCCCCAGTTCCTTTTGCAAAGCCTAAATAAAGGGTGTGGAAGAATGTAATATGTGGAATAGCATGCTCCTGGCTCTTCAGTGTTAGGAATAGAGGAGGGGAGCCATGGCTTCACTGAGTTGTCCTAGACTTACATCACCTACCCACATTTTTGGATAGGTTGAAGGCCTTTGGCCCCTCCTAGACTTATATCACCTACCCACATGCTTGGATAGGATGAAGGCCTTTGGCCCCTCCTAGACTTATATCACCTACCCACATGCTTGGATGGGATGAAGGCCTTTGGCCCCTCCTAGACTTATATCACCTACCCACATGCTTGGATAGGATGAAAGCCTTTGGCTCCTCCTAGACTTATATCACCTACCTATACTCTTGGATAGGAAGAAGTCTAAACAATGTAACTAAATCAAGTTAGGTCAGCAAATACCCATTGATCCTCTACTCTAATGCCTATTGATCTTCTTACTGTGTGTAAGAGATGGCATCACTGGTTTATGTATTACGGTGATAGTGACTAGCTAATTAAGCATAAATGACCTTTCCAACTGGGATTTGTGGACTGAAAAAGCCCAGATAACTCTTGTATAATAGGAAAGATAACACTAACCACCAAGAAGATGGTAGTGGTGAATAGGGAGTGCTTTTCAGGTATGCTAAACAGGCTGGGCAAAATCAGAAGGGAGAGGTCAAATGGGAACTTGTAAACTGCCCACCTTACTTCTTTTTGTTCATATTGTAAAAGTCAAATTAGAAGAGGAGAGAAAAAGAATTCAGAAACAAGGAAATGTCTTCCACCAAGGCAAGTGAAGAGGACAGTTGGAGGAAAACAGCTACAGTTTCTAACCACTGGGAAGCATAATGATAAAACAATTCGTTTAAAAAAGATCTGAGGGTTTAAGTGGACTACAAGCTTAGCATCAGACTTCAAGAACCAGCATTGCAAAGTTGTAGTCAAAAAACTAATGCAACCTTGGGTATTAATAGAAGAACAGCTTCTAGGAAGAGGGAAATGAAAGTCCCATGGTAATCTAACCATATCAAACCTCATCTGGAATATTTTTTATTCAGTTCTAAGGACATGGATAGGCTAGAAAGTATCCAGAAGAAAACTGTGATGGTGAAGGGCCTTGAGGCCATGTCACAGGATGATAGGTTGGCAGAAGTAGGAATGCTTAAAATGGAAAAGGCTCAGAGGAGACACGAGATTATCTGTCTTCAGGTATCTAAAGTATCAGCATTTGGAGGCAGAAGTAGACTGGTCTGTTGGCCCTAGAAGGCCAAACCAGGTAGAAGTTGCAAAGAGTGGCTTCTTTTCAGCCTATTATTACTGAGGGTCTAGAAACTAAAATCTGAAATGGTTGGGCAAAAAGGAAGAGAAAAAAGAAATTCTTATCAAAGAGAGAAAGACTTGGAAAGTGTTCAACATGGAAGCACTGAAAAGTGGCCAGAAACTACCAGACGGTAGAGACTTCTCTGCAAGGTCATCTTACGAAGATGTCCTTGTCACTAACATAATAGATATTCTTTTATCAGAGCTTTTACCTCTGTTACTTAAAATGAAAGATTATTACTTGTGCATTGCCTAATTTTGCTTTTTTAAGCACTTCTATGAAGCATATTTTAAATTGTAAATAATGTAGAATATGTTTAAGAAAAATGGATGTCACACAAAAATTTTCTAACTGTTAAGAGGTATATGGAATCAACTGCCTTGAGATGTGGAATATTCCTCCATTTTGAATATGTTTTAATGCTGAATCTAATGTTGCCTTTTCAATTTACAGAAACTGAAGCTAAGGAACCTTTCCCAAGATCATTCGTGCACATAGCATAGCTAAGTTTCAAACCTGGGTCCTTTTGACTCTACCCAATGATAAAAGGGCTATGTGTTTTGGATAAAATGTCAGGAATACCTGAGTCAGGAAGACCTGAGTTCAAATCTAGCCTCAACCACTAAGTAGCTGTGTGGCCTATGACAAGTCATTTAACATTTGTTTGCCTCTATTTCTTCAACTGTAAAATGGGAAATGGGATAATATTTTTAAAAACACTTAGTACATAATAAGCATTATATAAATGCTTAGTCCCTCCCCTCTTCCACCCTTCCTCATTCACAACATACTTCCTCTTCTTGAAAACAGGACTTTCTCAAAAAGTTCAAACCACAGAGTCATAGATCCAGAGCTTGAAGGGACTTCAGGAGTCATTCTAGTCCAACTTCTTTATTTTTTCAAAAAAAAATTATTGACATGTTCTGTTTTTACATCATAAACATTTACAAATTACTCCCACTCTGTGAGAGATCTCTTGTAACAAAGTAAAACAATTAAGTAAAACTAACAATAAGATGACTTCTTTTGAAAATTGCATGCAACATTCTATTACTGTAGCAACCCCTCACTTCTATAATTTTTTAATGAACATAAATCTATTTACTCTCCCTCCTACCTTAGGCAGCTGGGTGGCACAGTGGATGGACCTCTGGACCTGGACTCTGGAAAACCAGAGTTCAAATCCAGCCTCAGACACTTACTAGCTGTGTGACCCCAGGCAAGTCACTTAACCTTTGTTTGTCTCAGTTTTCTCAACTGTAAAATGGGGATGATAATAATAGCACCTACCTTGCAGGGTTGTTGTAAGAATCAAATGAGATAACATTTGTAAAATGCTGAGGACAGTATCTGGTACATAGCAGGCTTATTCTTTTCCTTCCTTCCATCGTTCCCTCCCCATCACTGGAAATAAAAGAAAAAAAAATCAAATTATTTATAACAAACATGATAAGGACACTGAGGCCCAGGTTTGTAAAATGAGTTGCCTAATATTGCATATGTAGTAAATGGCAAAATTCGAACCAAGGCCCTGACTCCACGTCCTGTGTACTTTCCACTGGGCCATGCTGTTCTTGGTACCATCGCCCCGTTAGTGTGGATGAGCTTATCAAATTGGCTGGGAATGGGACAGGGGGCTGAGGAAGGAGAGGGCTGAGAAGGCATGGCACACAGAGATGTGGCATTTGTCAGAGAAGTCAGGGGTCTTCAGCTCAGCTGCTGGCACTATGGAAGCAGTCCCACACCTGGTCCGTTAAGGCCGGAGAGCACCCTGCCAATGGCAGCCCAGCTGGGAAGATGACAGCGGTGGCAGCTGCCCCCTCGGCGGTGTCATGATGAATGACTGGCAGTTGGCTCCTCACCTGCTGGTTCCAGTCTGTGCTGCTGGCCCCCCCATCTCACCCCTCAGACAGCTGGCTTCCCTCCCAGCACACCAGGTGACAGCGAATTGCCTCTGGCAGTAGGTAGCTGTCCTGGCCCTCTTTATTGCTCTCTCTTCAGCTGTTTTCTTTCCTTCCTGCTGGGTCCCTGTCACCTATTCTTTCAGTATATGGGTTTCTGCAGCCGGTATGACTCTGGAGCTTTAGGATATTGGCTCAAATCTGGTTTGTGTGGCCATTATTGCTCCCAGGAAAAACCCAATTCCTTCCAGGTGCCATTTTTTTCTGTTCTTAAGAGGCAGGCAAGCCCGTCTACAGGGTAACTCTGGTAGCTAGAACCAGCCTGGGTGGCCCAAAATGAGCCTGGTCCTTGAAAGTGGGTGCTTCTGACTGGCCACTTGGATTCACCTGTATTGAGGCTAAGAAAGGAACTCCTCAATGTCTGTGTCATCTACCTTGACAAGATGAGAGCAAATTGCCAAGGGAGGAATTGGGGAAATCATGTTGGAAACACGAGAACAGTAAGGGAGATAGACCCCAAAAGAGAGGTAGGTGGGGAGGGGGAGAGGATGTGATCAACAGCAACTTCGCTTGCTTCACAACTAATCAAGACCAAGATTGCCTGCTTCACAGTTTGGCCTATCTCACTATTTCACTACAAGCAGCCTTAAATCTACTCTTGCCCTTTATTTTATCTTTGTGTGTATTCTCATTTTTATGCTTCCTGAAAACAATATATTGTTGAATTCAAATTTTGAATCCGCTATCCATTTCTGTTTTATGGGTAAATTTGTCCTATTCACATTCTAAGCTACAATTACTTGCTGTGTATTTTCCTCCTTCCTGTTTTTCCTCACTATCCTTCTTACCCTATTTGTCCTATCCCTTCTCACTCCTCTGCTTTACCTCTACCTGCTACCTTGCCCTCCTATTCCTTAACCTACCCACCCCTCTAAGAGTCCATCCCTTATCCTCTTCCTCCATCCCAATCCCTTGCCCTCTTATTTCTTTCTAAATTTAGAAGACTTATATGCATATATATATATATATATATATATATATATATATATATATATATATATATATATATATATATATATATATATATATATATATATATATATATATATATATATATATACATGTTGTTCCCTCTTTAACTGATTCCTGGTTAGAGTAAGGTTCCAGCACTACCCACCCTTCCCCCACTAGCTTCTGCTGTATCAATTTTTCCTTTTATGCCTCATTTGTATGAGACACTTACACCTTTTTTCCTCTCCCTACACAGTTTTTTTAAAATCACTCCATCAAATGCAGCTCAATCCATGCCTTTCTTTCAAACTACCCAATAATGATGACAATCATAACAGTACTGCTAATATTTTCACATATATGAAGTAAATAATTTGACCTTATTGAGTTCCTTATAATTGGTCTTTAATGCTTACCTTATATTTCTCCTGGATTGTATATGTTGAATTTTCACTTAAGTTCTGAGGTTTTTGTCATAAAAACCTGAATGTCTTTAAGTTCATTAAATATCCATTTTTTTCCATTCAGAATTTTACTTAACTTTGCTGGGTAAGTTACGCTTGGTCAAAACTCCAGTTCTTTTGCTCTAGAGAATATAATATTCCAAGAACTACAGTCCTTCAACATAGTAGCTACTAGGTCTTATATAATCCTTATTGTAGCTCCGTGACATTTAAATCATTTTTCTTCTTTATTATTTCTAATATTTTCTCCATAACCTTAGAGTTTGAAACTTGGCTATGATATTCCTGTAAGTTTTCTCCTGAGATCTCTTTCAGGTGGTGATCTATGGATTTTTTTTTCTATTTCTAGTTTGCATCCTTAGTCTTGAATTTCAGGGCCATTTTCCTTGATAATTTCTTATCATAATGTATCAAGGTTCTTTTTTTTAATAGTAATTTTCAGGCAGTCTGACTATTCTTATATTACTTCTCTTCAATCTGTTCTCTAGATTGTCGTTTTTTTCTGACAAAATGTTTCACTTTCTCTTCTGTTTTTCATTCTTTTGATTTTGTTTTATGATTCCTTGGTGTCTTAGAAGTTCATTAGCTTCCCCTTGCCCAATTCTAGTTTTCAAGGAATTATTTTCTTCCTTAAGTTTTTCATTCTCTGTTTCCAGTTGGTTGACTTTCTTGTTATGATTTTCTGGGATTGCTCTTATTTTTTTTTCTATTTTTTTTCTTCAATCCCTCTTATTTGACTTTTAAAGTCCTTTTTGAGTTCTTCCAAGAATTCTTTTAGTGCTTGGGACCATTTGCTGTTTCTCATTGAAAAAGGAGTGGCTTTTTTTACCTCCATTATCTTCCTCTGAATATGAACCCAGGTCTTCTCTATCCCCATAGTAACTATATGTGGTTGGATTCTTTTTCCTTTGCTTACTCATTTTTATTTATTTATTTTTTTGTTTTATTTTGTTTTTAGCAGCTATTAATGTAATCAAGTTGTAGACCTGAGGTATGGGGAATGATGCCCCAAGTCTCAGGTCCTTCTTACTATTTTTTTCTAGGGTCTGTCTCAGGGCCCAAATGTGGGCTTGCCTCTCCACTCTTAAACCACAGGGAGGGCCCCCAGCCACGCTGTCCTGCAAATGTTCTTGCTCCCTGCTGTCCCTCTGGTGGCATCAAACTGTAGCTGTCCTCTCTGCCCTGGAACTGAAACCAGGGACTCTGCTCTCCTGTTAGTGCCCACAGCCAACAGGGTCTCTGCCCCTCGCTACTGCACTCACCAGGTATGTGCTAGCTCCTTCTCCCTGTAGCCACAGCCCCAAACTCATCTGGTCAGCGCAGCGGGGTCTGGCATCCCTGAACGGTGGAAGGTCCTTCAGTCTTCTCCTAGTCAGATGTCTGGGAGATGAACATTTCTAAGGCCCAGGCTGCCTCTCAGCCCAGCTGCCTCCAGGGCTTATTGTTTGTTGACTCTGCTTGCACCTCACTCAGGCCAGACCTCCACCCCTGCAGGCCTGGTCTTTCCTGGGGTCTTCTCAAATTGTCTTAGGAGGACAACTGCTGTATTCTGTGTTTATTTCTGCTCCTCTGAGGCGATGTTATGTCCTGTTTGTGGAGGAAATTTGGAAAGCCAAAAGTTTTCTGACCTACTTCCCAGAATCTTGTCCTCCCTTGAAATCTATCTTAAGGCTACATCATCCTCAAATGAAGAAATCCTTATCTAGAGCAGGTGTTTCAAACTCACATCTAGGGAACCAGATTAAAATATAACTGGGTAATGTTTTAAAACCAATGAAAATACAATATAACAGGCAATATTAATTTGTGGTTTTCTAAGTCAATATGTGGCTGGCAGGGATCTAGTTCTATTTGAGTCTGACACCACTAATATAGAGGATGTGATAGACTCCTCCTAATATCTTAATGGGAGCAAGGGAACTCAAATTATCTAAAGTTTGTATACCTCATCCTCTAGTACCTATTGGAATGCTCTGTCCACAGTATGTGCTTAAAGAATATTTATTGAATTGAATTGTAAACTTCCTGCTATATTATAAGTTCTCCAAATCAAAGATTATGACTTATCTAAACTATATCTCCTATAGTATCTAGATCAGTGGCTTACATGTAGTAAGTGATTAATAATATTTCTTGTATAAAGAAGATAGTTCCATAAAAGTCCTACTCCGGTACCTCATGTGGAAGTGACCCTGTGTTCTGCAGGGATATATCAGTTTATACAAAATAGGACAAACGTCAAGTATGGACATGGCAACCAATGTGTTTGCTCTTTAAGAAGCAGCCTAGCTAATAAGTATAGAGTAGCCTGTCAGCAGAAAGAAGGTCACTAGGTGATGAATGGCCCTGGCAAATGATAAACCAAAAAAAACCCTATGAAATAACTCTCAGTCCTGCGCAGCCTCCTTCTTCTGCTACAGTGGCAGATGACGGTAAAAAGGCTAAAGGGCAGCAGAGGGTACTAGGAATCACATCATTTTAAATCATCTGTAAATATTGTTGTTCTAAATGGGAGATGAGACAGCCAGGTGGCACAGTAGATAGAGTACAGGGCCTGGAGTCAGAAAGACTCATCTTTTTCAGTTCAAATCTGGCCTTTGACACTTACTAGCTGTGTGACTCTGGTTAAGTCATTTAACTGTATTTGCCTTAGTTTTCTCATCTGTTAAATCAGCTGGAAAAGGAAGTGGTCAACCCCTCCAGTGGCCAAGAAAACACCAAATACGGTCACAGAGAGTTGGACAAAACTGAACAACAACAAAATGGGAGATCCTTGTCCAGTGTCCAGTCAATTGACCTATATGAGGCCTTCAGTGGGCTGGGCAGTCCCACTAAGAAGAATTTCTGAGAAGACATCGGGACAAGATCACACAGGGTGAAAAGGTCCAGGTTGAACTGCCATCTGCACTTGACTATGGAAGTACCCACATTAATGAGATCACAGATCTC